TAATTTATAACCAATAATAATATACAGTTTGGTTCAGGTTCCAAATTCCGTTAAAAGATTCTATGAAAAATTATTCCCAAACAAATTTCATATTGGAAAGCTGTATGATATAAAAAATTTTCTCAAGCAAAACTATCAAAATTGAGGATGAAATGTTTTAGTTCTCAATTTTTTTTCGCAAAATCATTAATGGGCTCAAACTTTTTTTTTGCAATTACAAATTTCAAAATTTTGCGTATAACAGGGTGTAAACACAATTTATTTGTACTTATTAGAATCAAAGATGAGGTTTCTTGTGGAGTCGCAATTATAATTTTTGTTTTTGTTTGCAAAATTTACCAGATACAAAATATTAAATTTTTGCAAAATATTAATGCGTGAGAAAATCAAAAATTATCTTATTTAGTATATATCAATATGTAGTTTACTTGGTGATTTAAGGCCGATTAATCTGTTGAGATTTTGATTCGAGAAACTTCTTGGTTGTTGTGTTTTAAGGCAAAACCGAGCCAAGAACGAGCAACCTTTCGGGAAGTTTTATATACCCGCAATTATTTAGCCGTTTTTTTTTTACTAAAAAAGGGCATGATTTTTCAGACACGTTCAATCGATACAGAACTTTAAAAATAGTTCCACTTATCATTATTGTAATTATTATTATGATTTTTAATATTATTATGATTATGGTTACGATTAGTATTATTATTGTTAGTATTATGACTATTATTATAATTATTATTATGATTATGTTTTTTTATGATTTTGATTATTATTATGATTATTTTGATTATTATGATTATAATGAAAATTATTATAATTTTCATGATTATAATGATTCTTATTATGATTATGATTATTATGATTATTACTATTATGATTGCTATGATTATTATGATTATTATGATTATCATTATGATCATTATTATGACTTTTTTCATTATGATTATGTTTTTTTTTATGATTTTGATTATTATTATGATTATTTTGATTATTATGATTATAATGAAAATTATTATAATTTTCATGATTATTATGATTCTTATTATGATTATGATTATTATGATTATTACTATTATGATTATTATGATTATTATGATTATTTTTCTTATGATTATTATTGTTCTATTAGTGGCGAATAAAAATATCAGATACTTTTTTTTCCATCATATGGATCAATAAATTTTTGGCTCAATTCGTTCATTCAATTTTTCTGACAGCGTTCTAGGCCGCTGAAATCTATAACTAACCCCTTTTATTGACAATCTCTTATAATGCACGTTACATCTGCTTTAATTCAAAGCTTATTCTCACTCAGAATTGAAAAAAAAAACCAGCGTTTGTTGTCCAGCTTTACAAAAAAGATAAAAGACAATTGGTATACAAATTGCTTGTTTTGGTAGGTGTGGTCCTGTCTCAAAGTATGAGTATTTTTAGCGCCAAAAGCTTAACTCTAATCGTACTCGAGCTATAGTTTCACCTTGAATTGAATTAAAAGCTTAGCTAAGCATTTCTAGAACTCATCTTTAGTGTCATAGTCAAATCAACGCTACTAATGTGTTTAATTAATTGAAAGATTTTTTTTGAGAGCAATTTTTCAGAATGAAAACAATCCGGTAAAACCAATCTTGAATGGAATTTGAAGGATTGAGATCACAAAACGAGGCATTAGTTCATGAAACTGCCGTAATAACGATAAGAGTAGACCTTTTGTCTTCTTGATTGGTTGTCACGTGTTATGCCGGTATAATTTCATGCTTTCAAAGCTTTGGTTTTTTAGAGGTGAGTTGGCTTGAAAACATGATATGGCTTTCGTTTATACTCTTTTTTGCCTTGAATTAACTTGGATCTCGTTAAGCATACACGACTGACGAGGAGCGACGTATAAGAGTTCATGGTTCTTTGCATTTTGCACCTTTAGAAAAAAAAGTAGCCAGGGACGGATCTAGGATTTTCTCGAGGGGGAGGCGGATTTTCAAAAAAATTTCAAATATTTTGTCGAACAAAATTTTAAATTTTGAAAAGACAGGCAAAAAAAAACGATTTTAGGCACTTTTTGAAAGTTTTTGACCAGAAAATTGCGTTTTTTCGGCGCGCTCCCCCCTCAAGATTGGCATGGGGTCAACTCCCTGAGGGGAAGAATGCATCCACCCCCGAATTTTTAACAACTAAATCGCCAGTTCAGAAGGATTTGCCTCAAAACTGAATTGTGGTTTGTTTCGTCGTTCACTTTGAGACACAGTTTACTGATTTTTCTCATGTAGCTCTGAGTTGTAGCCGTAAAAAACCCGACAAATATACTCCAAGGTGGTGCAATACCAGAAACACTAACTCGAATTGATTGTAGCTGATAGAACATTTTGGGAATTTTTTCTAATGGTTCCATCAGCTAATCAGAAAGATGATTTTTCCGGCACTAAGAAATTCAAGGATAAGGCACAGAAAGATTCGCTCGTGGTTATTTGATCCAGAGTCATACCGCAAAGATTTTCAAGCATTTCAGGAAGGTCAAAAGTTCTCGCAACGGGGATGTGTGCCATTTTAACATCTAGCTGCTTATGTGTGCTCGCAGCCGTTCGAATCAGTTTGTCTTTAGTTGGCAAGGCAAACTGAGTGGCCCATTCATTAGTTACTGTCAAAACTGCACTGGCGGCTGCGCGGGTCGGGTATATCTCTGGGTCAGTTCTTTTAATTTCTTGATCACGTTTCGGGCATCTAATTTTTTCGTTGAAAAGTCATAATTTTGCACTCCACGCGTTATGATCAATTCGTTGTTTTCTGTAAAGACAAATATTTGACATTGATTCGTTTGATAATTTGAGTAAGTCAATTTTTTGTTAAATTAAATTTGTCTTGCTGGAAACAAAATTCGGTATAATTATAAATTGACTTGTTTTTAGGTGAATCGGAATTCCTAAGAAGACTGAAGCATAATTTTTTTGGTGATTGCAATAGCTTTTAGCTTGAATAAAGCAAAAGTGCAGTCACAAAATTTTTGGCAGAATTATTAACACAAATTGTTATGCAATCGCACAAGCTGCTTTTTTAAGTAATCACATTAGTTTAGTGAAACATCCAATTATAAAGCATTACAAACTTATCAATAAGAGTCTTAATTATTTTCGGAAGCCTCAGTTTAGCATGTATAACTGAGACAAACGAAGTTTTTCAATATGATGGGTGCGTTGCTTGCAGGATTAACTTTGGCTTGATAAGAGTTACGATAAGGAACTCATACAGCATTAATTTTGACTTTAAGTTATAGAAAAGGACTTAGATTGCTTACAATGGACATCACCAGGTGAAAACTTGTACGAATTTAAATTGCATGGTTTGAATTGTAGCACAAGAAAGAATGCGCTATAGTTTTACGGTTTCATATTTGAACCAAAAAAGCTACTCTTGCCGTTTTTGTGCAGTTTTTTCTCCTATGGAACGTTAAGCATTTTTCTCATCTTCTATAGAGCTGAACGATAGTCTTCCGTGAATAGGCTCAATAAGTTTGCAAATTAAGTTGGTAAAACTGAAATTTTAATGCTTTTTCACCTAAAGAAAAATATTTTGCGGGTTTTTGAATGGTTTGAATCTATTAAAAAATGACGTTCATCTTATAGATGCTTTCAAGCGGAAAACCCTTTTGTTGTTTTTTTTTACCAGGCGTCTATCGTTTATTGCGATATTGTAATTGTATGGTTGGGATAGAGTTGAGCGAAACAATTCGGGCGGAGGAACACGAGAAACAGGAAGAAAAAAATTAATCTAGCCGTTTCATTTTTTGGATTAAATAATATTTTGCAAAATCTGTTTTCTTTCGCATCGAATTTAGTTTCGGAGACATTATTGTTTCACATTTGCCATGAAATTGATTCTTCTACAAAATATGCCGCTGGCTGAATTTTCCTTTTATCTCACACTTCGTTGCCAGTTTTATCGGTTTTAAAACGGTTTCCAATAAAAATGTTTATTTTGGTGAAAGAATCCTTTCCAGGTGGTGAAACAGCGAGACTTGTCCAAACAAATTTTTTTATTTTCAAAATGGTGCAATAAAATGATGGTATTCAAAGTAACACTGCAGCTGTAAAGCGACCTTCGGCCATCTTTTTGTAACAAAAAAAAGAACTTTAAAAGCGAGCCTCTGCTTTGATTTACCCATCATTCATTCCTGTTCACACATAATGGAATTTTTATTATCATAAATTAATTAATTTCATTTGCTCCAAGCACGCTCTCTGAATTTTATGAGCTCTTCTTTTTTATATTTTTTGCACGCCCCAAAATCCGATTGAAATTGAATAACGCTTAAATTCCATAAATTGTTACCTTTTTTGAGATCATAGTTAGAAAGGTAAATAGTTATGTCCTCAAAACCTTTTTTCTATTTCAGGTGAAAAAATACGAATCTCTATAACACTTTTACAGCGATGCACTGAAATTTACTAAATTCTACTATTCTGCTATACTGCTATACACGGCATAGTTTTATAAGAAGCTGAGACTGAAAATCGTGAAAAAATTTCAAGACTTCTCAGAAGCCAGCGAGCCTCAGTTTTGAGGCTAACCCAAAAACTCAACAATTGTTGCCGGGTAAAATTTTATTTCAACTAAACCTGAATACTCTTGCAAAACTACATTATATTGCACCAGATTTCCCTCGTGCCAAACATTATCATAGAAGCGCGAACTTTTTTCCGCATTTTTCATCAATGATCAGATTTTTAAAAGAAAATTTGAGCCTCCGTTTTTTTAAGAAAATTTGTGTCCTTTCATTTATAAAAAACTACGTGTAAAAAAACTACGTGTATGCTTGCATCAAATTTAAAATTCTAGGCACTCTACAACATGTGGCTCTAATATTCTGCTAATATTATGTGTTTTTTTTGGAAAATAGTCGCAGGAAACTAGCTGCATGTTGTCCATTAAAGCTTCAAATCTCACATCTTTTTCGGAAAAGAGGTGAAAACCGACACAGCTTGATTTCTTAATTGAGCCTGTTAAAATGAGGGATTTTCACAGCTTTAAAAAAGAAACTGAAAAAAATAGAGATACCAGTTTGAGTTTACCTTTTCGATACAACTGTTAACTGATTTCTCTATATTGGCCGTTACAGGTTAGTTTTCATTCTAAATGTCTTTAAATTCTGATCAAAATTTTACAGGTTTTCAGTGGTCTAAAAAATTTTATATTTGTCTTATAAATTTTGATAAACAAAAACAAATAAAGGGGTTTTTGGGTTTCCTAATAATAAATAATAAATTCGTTCGCTAATCAGGTACATTACAGAAATTATTTATTAAAAATGCACAAAAAAGCTATTCGAATGGTCACCGTAATGCTACAAGCCTGTTTGCAGGTTCCATTTGAGAGCAATATGGAGAATCAGAATCCATATTTTTGTTTTTTTTTTCCGATTGAAACCAAACTTAAAGTTTTGCATAAACCGTTTTTGTTGGTGTAGATCTAACCATAAAGACCAAAGATTTTTATTTCTGATTTTTAAATAAGAAACAAACTAGTTACTCGTTTCAGAAAAGTTAAAACGTCTCTTCTTCGGTTCAGAAAATGCGTTTTATTTGTTTCAGGCTTCTCTATTCTCTCTTTCATTGCTATGGGCTGGGTTCGGGCGAGAGATGCAATCAAACTAGCCCCCCTTGCCTCTGGGTTGTACAGGTTAGGAATGTACAGGAAATGGGGTCAGATTGAGGTCATCTACATTGGGGTCACATCCACTGGGGGATCAATTAGAGAGACACTCACTAAAGTTAGTTGAAATGATTCAAAAAAATCACAAGTTTTCTTGAAAATTTTGATTTAAAGAATTTTCACCTAATCAAAACCATAGACCATAAAATGTATTTGGCTCATACATAACAAGTACGGGACCTGCCTGTTAGCATGTGCGTAGATTAGCATGCTACAAATTTTTTCCATCATGTACACATGTAACTGTTGAAGTGCAATAGGCCGTGTAGCAAAAAAATCGACGAACCAATAAACTTTTTTATCCGCGCCGACCTGCAATGGCTCGAAGCAAACACTGATCCCCGCATAAATAGTGGCGAGGCCCATACGATCCTTTCATGGCTTGTATCGAACAATTTGCTCCGCAAGGGAGCTGACTTAATTGAATACTAATACAAATTTCCGTTTATTGCAAAACCGAAGAAATGCACTATCACTTTTCGGTACTTGCGCCAAAGTTGCATTTGAAACTAACCAAATACCACGTGTGAAATCACGGAATTAAAGTAAATTGAAGAGGAACAAAAAGCCCTGAATGTTCGGACTGTCCCTTAATTCACATCGAATAATTTTCTGCAAAAAAAAAAGATTGAAAACCTATAAATTTTGGACAATAGCAAAGTGTGAAATGTTGAGTCGTACGAAATTAATACGACCAATTAGCTAGCCTCAATTCAATTTGGAACGATTTTGTTGTGCGGAATAATTCGCCACGCATAAATAATTCGCGCTACGCTCTCAGCAATATGAATAAATTCTTCAAAGAGCGCATAATTTAGTCCACAACATAGCCAATTTGGCATTTTTGAAACCCCCATAACTTTACAAAAATAATCAAAGGTGAAATATCTTTTTCAATTTCAGATAGTCGATATCAGGAAGTCGATATCTTTAATGGGTTATAAAAAAATTTGTTGAAAACTATTATGTCGATCAACCAAAATTGACTGAATGAAGAAAAAACCACACCGAGCTTAAATGTTCCGTTTCCTTCGAAAGTCGGAACAATTAGTCCAAAATACTACGCCCAAACAGCACAAGCAACGAAATTATATATCTTAACCGTTTCATCCAGGGGCGGATCTAGGATTTTTTAGGATGGGGGAGGTTGCGGATTTTAAAAAATATTGTCGACCTTTTTTCATAGAAAAACTGGCCGAAATTTCGAAAAAACAGGCCAAAAAACGCTTTTTAAGCATTTTTCTGAAAACTTTACACAAAAAAATGCGCGCTCCCCCCTCAAAGTTAGTATATATTGGCGCCATAAAGCCTTTAGAAAAATTTTAAGGTCCGTCACAAAAAAAAGGATATCTCAAAGCAGTACAAACGGGGGGAATCAACTGATGAAAAGTACAATAGAATTGCATTATTAGCTAATATTATATTATTATATTATATCGACCAAGAGGCATGCCTTAAATCAATTTGGAACTATTTCTACGACGGGTTAGATCTCCGCATACGCGTTAATAGAACGAAAAACATTGCGAGTTAATTATCCCAAATAGACAAAATTAGCAATCTTGAAACCCCTATAGCCCTACACAAAATAATTACAGGTGAAATATTTTTTTTTTCAAGTTTGAGCTATCCCAAATAGACCAAATTGGAATTCATGAAACCCCCATAGCTTTACGCAAAATAATTACAAGTGAAATATTTTTTCAAGTTTGAGTTCAAGACACAAAAGTTTTTTGATTATGAAAAAAATATCCGTCAAAAGTTCTCCGTTAAAATGTCGAGTTTTGTCTGAAGAAAAAAAACACCCCGAGCTCAAATATTGCGTCTTTTTTTCGAGAGTCGCAACAAAACTTGTAGAGTCGGGAACAGGACCAGCTTCGAAATTTGATAAAGAATCATTCTTAGAACTGTAATACCCTTCACTTTGAATGTGTTTAAGAATCCTTTATCTCATTCGAGATCCATGACTTGTTGTCAAGGTTCGATTATAAAAAATCAGAATAGAATTTTAAATCAGTTCGTCGGAAAGTGACCGTTAGAAATTATTTTGAGATTTACATGTTCTTCTGTTAAGAAGTAAAAGTCAGTTGAATTGATGTAAGATGTCGTAAGACACTGTTAAAATGATTTTATAATGGCTAGTTAGTTGAACCGAAGAAAGATTTTGATGGTTCGTTTTTGGTTAACCGAAAGTCTCCAATTAAAATTGAAGTGAAAGTCGACACCAGTGTTGGTTAGACCCGCTTAAAGCTACGAATGAATTTGAATTAAAGAATCTAGGAAAGAGTTAAAGGCATCCAAGGAAAGCCTTGATGAACTGATTTGGCGGATCGTCACGCATAACAAGGCTGAACGTATCAACGCAAAATCCTGAATGTTCCGACTGCCCATTAACCTCTATGAAACATAACTTTTCTTTTACAAAATTAATAAAGCTTTATCTTCTCTAATCAATAACTTCTATGATGAAACATATTTTTTGTTCTACAAAATTGATAAAATTTTCGGGTCTTTTCTCTAATGCGGCCAAAAATTACCAAAGCATTGAACATAATAAGTCGCTTCCTGTTCGAAAATAAGCGTCAGATTTTTTTCGCATTTGTTAATTTCTACCAATCAAATTCAAACATCATGATAAAATTTTGAAGTAGCAAATAGTAAAATTTTGGGCTGTATAACAGAAAAAAAAACAGCTTTAAGAAGAAAAAGTTGAAACGTTGAGGCTTTTTTTGAAAAATTAAAATGATGTATTAGGAATTGAATGATGCAGACCTAAAATTGATGCATTAAACGTCTTGTTACGTTTTAGTACGGTCACGTGGGTTACCTCAGTTAAAATTAAAAAATTTAAATTAACGCCGTCGCGCATTTGTCCCAAAATTTCCAAATTGTTAGTTTGTAAAATATTTTAACTTTACTCAAAACTATTACAAACAAAATAATCTTTTGAGCCTGTGTTCAAAACCTCAAAACCTTCCAGATTAGATAATAAGTTGAAACAACATTGTTAAAAATGAAAAAAAAAAGAAGAATGATTCTGCTTGATGTGTTTTTCTTCCGAAATTTTTTGGCTATTTAGCTAGCCACTTTTGAACGTGATTATGATATCATCTAAAAAGTACTGACGTGCTGAGTTCAAACTAAACAAGGACAGCCGGTTACTGTGCAAGTAGCACAGAATGTTCCGACCATAGTCTTAAAAAACAACAACATTTTTTTCAAAATAGTCTCATTTTTTTTTCGACGTAGTGTGATAAAAAGAGCTGAATAAAAATTAGAAGTTAAACATATTCGACAGTCATGGTAAAATAAGCATAATCAAAATCAATTACTATAAAAAATATTTACAGAAATGAAAAAAAGAAAAGGTTTTTTTTTATTGTTTTGCCGCATTTTGAATTTCGAAAAAATGATTCAAAAAAGGCGCTAAAATACTCAAAAAACTAACGTTTTTCACGCAAATTTGAGTTTTTAAATTTTAATTTAAGCTATTGTACGCTTTTAAACCATTTAAAAACTTAAAATAAGCCCCTATTATAAGCCTACTTGCTAATTTTATATGGTCGAATCATACAAAATTAAAACTTTCAAACCGATTTTTCTCGAAACTGTGAAGTTTGGTTGAAATTTTTTATTGTCGCTTCTGACTGAATAGGCTTCAATATGATAATTCATATAGCTCTCGCCGATGATTATTTGCACTAGCAAAACAAAAAAAGAGAAAATATTGAATGCAAAGTCTTTAATACAAATACTAAATACACCCAAATACAAAAATCCACTCCCCAATTATTGGGAACAATTAAAAGTTTCAAATATCTGATCTGCGACAATGTTTCGGCGAAATCTTTCAGTTTTTGGTAGTAAGCTTTGAGTGAATTTTTATCCACCGTAAGAAATCGTTCCAATGTGATTTGAGGAAAATTGTTATAAAATTTCAATAATTAGTGTAGTATTGCAAACTCTACACTAACTTCAGTGTTGACCCAATTTTCTAAATTTTAAATAACAATTTTTCTTCTAACTTTCCCTTTAAAAGTATACTTTGGAAAAAAATAACACTCCAGAGCTGACAAAAATAAGATTCTAATGTTTTCCTTTAACTTAAAATTTTATAGCTGAACCTCAATTTCTCAAATCTATTTTGGTATTTAAGATAGTTGTTCATCCATTTATAACTCCTTTATACTTATTTAATCAACCCTTTCAATTTATCTGTTTATATAGTTATATTTCAACTATAGGAACAAATCTACTATGATCTATAATTTCATCTAGTGTGAGACTTATGTTTTATTTTACTTACTAAGAGAAACAAAAAATCCACCAACGACCCATTGTTTTTTTAGTAAGTAGCCAAAAAAAATTTTTTGTTTTCATTTACTTGGAAGTTTTACTATTTTTTGATCTTTTATGAAAAAGATGAATTATTGCGTAGATTTTAAAATGCCGTCGGATCAGGGTATCGCTCTGATACGAGCAGTTTTGATTTAGTTGTATTATTTGGGAGCCAAAGTATCTGAAGTAGTTATTTTACTTTTCCTTGCTTATATAGGGTGCACCAGTGGCGGATTGAGGGAGGCCGGGGGGTACAAAGGGTGATCCCTTTGTACTATTTTGAGATATCCATTTTCAGCTGACGGACCCTAAAATTTTTCTAAAGGCGCCTTCGGTGCCCATATATACTAACTTTTAGGGGAACTCGCGCCGAAAAAACGCAATTTTTTGGTCAAAAGTATCTAAAATAAGCCTAAAAACGCTATTTTTGGTCTGTTTTTCAAAATTTTGCTTGCGGCGCAGAAATTTTGGCCAAAACATGGTCTTTTTAGTACTTTGGGAGAGCTCGGAAAATAATTTTGGTCGACTTAAAAAAAGGTCCACAAAATTGAAAATCCCCCCCTCGAGAAATTTCTAGATCCGCCCCTGAGGTGCACCTATAAGATGATCATATCTTTTTCAGGCTTGCTTAAACTTTTTAAATATTTTGCCTCAAACAATCAAGCGTAAAATAGCTCGCAGAACAAGCGTCGGCCTCACATGACTGATTTCGCGATAGAGTTGTGCTCGCGCTGTACCTACAACTTCATTCTTTTTGTTGCCGTTTAGTTCATCCACGGCTGTTCTTCTGTTTAGTTGTTCCTCGGTCTGGATGGCGATCCGAACTTGATGCTGTACGTCTCCCCACTTTGGACCAAAGGAAATCTGTTCGTTGACTGGACTGTGCGTCTGTACCCCAAGACAGACATCAATGACGTCATAAGATTGCAAGTGAAGTCCACCCGAAGAGTGCCCTTGTTCAACCAGAGGTCATCGGAGAAGGATCCTGTGCTTCCGTATGTTGCAAGAGAGTGCAACATGCACAACCCGCAACTATTCCACTAATTTTTTCAAGAACTGCACAAAAACCTGCACAAAAACTGAACAACTAAATATAAAACCTCAATTTTGTTCAATAAGAGGAATTGTCCGACAATGTTATCTGTTACGACATGCTATTATTTTGAATTTCAATTTTTTGCCAAAGAAAATTTACCTGGGCTAAAAATGCAACAGAATTGTTTAGAAATGTTTGTCACAAAATTAGCTGTAAAATTGGAACCATAGTGAAATAGTAGTTCAAAATTCTAAATTGAGCTAAGAAATATAGATTAAAAGACCAAAAGTTTTGCCAAAATTTTCAGTCTAGCAGAAGACCTGCTTAGTCTAAAAATTACTTTTGTCAATCAATTTGGAGCCGATACTGGCAAAACAGTCGTGGCTTCCGCAAAAGAATATTTTAGGCAACCTTGTATTTGATATCTTGCAGGTTTGTGTAGGCCCTCCAAAGCATGCAAACTGAAAGCTTTTCCAATTTATGATGATAATCGATGCAATCATAGTCTCGTTTTTTTTTCGGCGTGGTGTGATTAAAAGAGCTGAATGAAAAACTGGAGATTAGACCTATTCGACAATCATGGTGAAATAAGCGAAGACTTTTACAATTTATGATGATAATTGATGCAATCATTCTTTGGGCAACTTCGCCCAAACCAATGCGAACACCGAGTTTAAGCCATCGATATATGTTTCGGCTACTCGCGAAAGAGAGGGAAAAATTATGGCTAAGAAACGCAAAACCAAGTACATCCAAGATCTATTATTGTTTACGGATAGCGAGTTTTTTATGCTATAGCAACTTCAGTTCATTTTAAATAATGTCACTACAAGTTAATCTTCGCGGCAGTAACAAATTTTGGAAAATATATGAAGTTTTATTTTCAAACAATATGTTCAAATTGACGTCTCTTGGCTAAAAATCCATATAATTGTCCATAGTGTCCATATAAACGATTTTTGTGATAAAATGAAACCACATAATGGATTTTCAATTCATTATAATCGATTAAATTTGAAAAAGATAAATGAATTATAACCCATTTTAATCTTCTTTAATTCATCTTTTTTCAAAAAATGGGATTTGTTTCAACCTTAAATCCAGTATGATCGTATAATTGATTATAATTGATTGTAAAACATTTTTTAAAAACCAGTAGCATTCGATCATGTCCGAAGGCGCCTTTAGAAAATTTTTAGGGTCGGTCGGCCAAAAATGGATTTCTTAAAAAGTATCAAAGGGGGGACCCTTTGAGTCGGCAGGGGGTCGAATCCCTGAAAAGAAGGCGTCCGCCCCCCCCCCCCGCCCCATCCCCCTAAATCCGCCTCTGTCCCGGATCTTTCCTAAGGTCCCTTCCTGAGTGAGGGGGGGGGGGGGGGTGGCGGGGTGATGAGGTCCTCACGTAAAGCAAAATCTAGTCCTGAAAGTGAAAAAAATTTTCCTCCCAAAAAGCAGAAGACCCCCTACTTAGGATCTTGCTAAGCTTAGCTTAACAACAAGGGACACTATTCATAACTCTTTATAATTCCAATATATGGGGTCCTAATTTGTGGCCCTGATTAATCATATGAATCAAATTAATTGCTAAATTTGTTTCAGGCAAACGATTTTTTGACCTAGTTGAAATTGGTTGGTGGAAGTGGAATTGAATTTCATGATGATATATAACAAAAACGCCCGTGATTTTGGCAGCGTAGCTTATCTGTTGGCAGCAGTGAATTTTTTCCTCAAACTGTTCTAGATTTTATGGTGAAAAGGCGGTAACTTGAAATCACTCTCCAAAGGCGGCGACAGTTCCTGAGCAAAATTATAACAAATGATAAACTTTTCAATTTTTGAAGAAAGAAAATTGAAATAAGAGGGAGTAATGAAGATACTGCTGAATAACTTTTACAATTTAGATTGTTTTCAACATTACAAAAAATCAAAATTCCAAATCGGAGGTGAACGCTATATCGTATTTCTCGAGAGGAGAAAGGAAGAGTGTAAAAATGAAAAGGTAAAAAGAATAGGGGAAAGGAAGATGGGAAAAATCCATCGAGCCTTTTGTGAAAACTTGACGCATTTTCAAAAAAAAAATTAAAAAAAAACCCGGTGTTTTTTTTGAAATTTACTTACTTACTTACTGATTCATCTCTTACTTACTTACTTAGTTACAAAATTTCTTAATTTTTCACTTACTAAATTACCTACTTAACTAATTACCAACATACTCACGTTTTTATTTACTTACTAACTTTTTTACCTACTCACTTACTTACTTACTTACTTACTTACTCACTTATTTTTATACTTACTTTCTTTCTTATTTGCTTACTGACTTACTTATTTACCACCATACTTAGCTACACTTTTTTTCACATACCGACAGACATACAGTGATAGCCGCATTGTTTTTTTAAAATGATATACTTACTCTTTGTTTCGTTCAGTTTTCTTTGCTTTAATTTATTGTTTTAAATTCACTTGAATTTACTAGCGTTTACTTAACTTACTTTAGCTTACTTTAGCTTACTTAACCTTAATTTACTTTACTTTTGCTGACTTACTTATTAACTTACTTACATACTCATTTACTTTGATACTAACTCACTTATTTACTTATTTACTCACATACTTACTTACTAACTTACTTACTTACTTACTTATTTACTTACCTACTTACCTACTTACTTATTTACTTAATTACTTACTTACTTAAATGCTTACTTACTTACTTACTTATTTACTTAATTACTTACTTACTTACTTACTTACTTACTTACTTACTTACTTACTTACTTACTTACTTACCTACTTACATACTTAATTACTTACTTACTTACCTACTTACTTACTTACTTACTTACTTACTTACTTAATTACTTACTTACTTACTTACTTACTTACTTACTTACTTACTTACTTACTTACTTACTTACTTACTTACTTACTTACTTACTTATTTACTTACTTACTTACTTACTTACCTACTTACCTACTTACTTACTTACTTACTTACTTACTTACTTACTTACATACTTACCTACTTATTTATTTACCTACTTACTAATTTACTTTCCTACTTACTTACATACAGACTTATTTACCTACTTACTTACTTGTCAACTTACTTACCTACTACTCACTTAATTATTTACTACTTAACTTACTTATTTACCCACTTTTACTTACTCATCTGCTTACTTTTTTACTTACTTTCTTACTTACTCACTTATTTATTTTCACCTAGTTACTTACTCACATACCTGTTTTATTTCCTTTTTACTTAATTCTCAATTTTTTTTGTCGCATTTTGAAGAAAAAAAAATTGAAATAAGAGGGAGTGATGAAGATACTGATAGTAAACTTTTACAATACAGATGGTATCCAACTAAACAAAAAATGCAAAATTCCAAATCGGAGCTGAAACTTATATCGTGTTTCTCGAGAGGGAAAGGAAGACTGTAGAATTGAAAAGGTAAAAAAAAAAAGAGAAAGGATGATGAGAAAAAAGCATCAAGCTAATTATTTTACTTACTCTTTAATTCGATCAGTTTTCTTTGCTTTAATTTAATTTGTTTCAACTTTATTTTAATTTACTAGCACTTAATTTTAAATTACTTTAGCTTACTTAACTTTACCATACTTTACTTTACCTTCGCTTACTCACTGACTCACTTACCTAACCACTAACTTATTTAATTTTATAGTTACTTGTTTTGAAACTAACTTACTTACTTACTTACTTACCTACTTACTCACTTACTCACTTACTTACTTACTTGTTACTTACTCTCTTACCTGTTTTACTTCCTTTTACTTAATTCTCAAGTTTCTTTGTCACACTTTGAAGAAAAAAAAATGAAATAAGAGGGAGTGATGAAGATACTGATAATTAATTTTTACAACTTAGATGGTTTTCAACTATACAAAAAATTCATAATTCCAAATCGGAACTGAAATTTATATTGTGTTTCTCGAGAGGGGAAAGGAAGTCTGTAGAAATGAAAAGGTAAAAAGAAAAGGCGAAAGGATGATGAGAAAAAAGCATCAAGCTAATTATTTCACTTACTCTTGAATTCGTTCAGTTTTCTTTGCTTTAATTTAAATTGTTTCAATTTTATTTTAATTTAATAGCACTTATTTTTAATTTACTTTAGCTTACTTTACTATACCATACTTTACTTTACCTTTGCTTACTCACTGACTCACTTACTTAACCACTAACTTATTTACTTTTATGGTTATTTGTTTTGATACTAACTTACCTACTTACCTACTTACTCACTTACTCACTTACCTACTTACTTTCTTACTTACTTACTTACTTAATTGTTTACTTACTTACTTTTTTACTCACTTATCTACCTAATTATTTATCTACTTACTAATTTACAAACCTACTTACTACTTAACTTACTTATTTACTCACTTAGTCACCTGCTTATATTTTACTTACTTTCTTACTTACTCCTTTATTTATTTTCACCTATTTACTTACTCATTTACCTGTTTTACTTCTTTTACTTAATGTCACATTTTGAAGAAGAAAAAGAAAATAAGAGGGAGTGATGAAGATACTGATAATTAACTTTTACAATTTAGATGGTTTTCAACTATACAAAAACTTATAATTCCAAATCGGAGCTGAAATTTATATCGTGTTTCTCGAGAGGGGAAAGGAAGACTGTAGAAATGAAAAGGTAAAAAGAAAAGGAGAAAGGATGATGAGAAAAAAGCATCAAGCTAATTATTTCACTTACTCTTTAATTCGTTCAGTTTTCTTTGCTTTAATTTAGTTTTTTTCAGTTTTATTTTAATTTACTAGCACTTAATTTTATTTTACTTTAGCTTACTTTACTTTACCATACTTTACTTTACCTTTGCTTACTCACTGACGTCCTTACTTAACCACAAACTTATTTACTTTTATAGTTACTTGTTTTAATACTAACTCACTTACTTACTTAATTACTGACTTACTTACTTTCTTACTTACTTACTTACTTACTTACTTACTTACTTA